CCCCCCCCCCCCCCCCCCCCTCCGGCCGTGCCTTGGACTGGTGTGATTGGAGGGAAACCCCGTGGACTGCATTCACACAGACGGGCTGAGAGAATCAGCTGTAGCTTGTTGGCACGCCGAAATCACTGCTATCTGCCAGTACACAGGTATGAAAGGAGTTAAAACTTTTGAAACTGCACTTTTACGTTTGCATGATTTAGCGTCAGGACTTTTAATCTATCGTAACATATAGTGGTAATGGAAGCGCATAGCCTCCAATTGACTGTGGGGCTGCATGGAGCAGCGACAATCATTAGACCAAAGAACAATGGCTAGCTTAGCTACAGTTTGGGACATGTCTAATGGCTGGTTCTAAAATGGACCATCAGACGGGCAGACGTGGAAGGAGGGTCAGGTCGAAGGTTGAAGCTTTGCTATTCTGTTGACCTGTTTGCTGAAGTCATTTGTCAGGTTGTGCTAATTAGTTTGCCTGTTAGAATATAATTAAATGACAGCGATGCATTGCCTTTGAGGAGTAATGACTGTCGCATGTAACGTTAGCGAGAAATGCGTGATATACGTCGGGAATTCATCTTAATTTAGCGTTTGCTACATTACATTTTTGTTGACGGTACCAGCAAGGTAACGTTAGAATAAGATCCACTATACTGTAACGTTAATGTTGTTTCAATTGTTGACTTTAAATGTCGAGTAGGTCACTCAATTAACGTTAGCTAAACTACCAATACGCGACAAAGTGCGATTCACATCACACATGCCACATAACGGCCAGCTAACGTTAAACCCAGTGAACACCTTTCTAAAAGCGTGGCGTCTCGCAAACAAACCAACGAAGCAAGTAATTGTTTTATACCATGAGATGAATAGAGTAGGTAGAAAACAATGGGTTTAGCCCCTAGCCAATTTTAAAAGCTGCCTGGCTTGGAAAGCTTCGTTTCAGGAAATAGTCGGCGCCATGCTGGAAACGGGTCACGAGGGCCTAGTGGTAGCGGTTGCTTTTCAGTCGCTGAATGGTGTTTCTCGTCTAGACTAGTTAGATTTAACTAAAGTTAGATTTAATGGAAGTGCTTTGGGGCTCGTGTCGGTCAAATATTCTATAATGAATCACAGTACCCCGCTGTAATTGTGCACTTTAATTTCCGTGTTCTCGCATGTTCGCTGAGCCACAGGTACAGGGATGGGTGTGGTGGTTTGTGTGTACGACAGAAAGAGGGGGGCTAACCAGTAATACAAAATCCAGTTATTCTTCCAAGTTATCATAGCTGTATGTATGCATGCATTCTTTCGACGAGTGCTCTTACAGTCACACGTGGCTTAAACTAACTACGGAACTAGAACTTTGTAGCGTATATATTTACTGTTTAAATCCATACACACCCCGGATTACCCATGGGTCATGTTGCATCATACAGCGGGTACGTCGCCAGCTCATCAGTGCTGAAACTGTTACAATTCCTACAATTTCGCCAATCCCTTTTTGCAAACCTGTAAAACACTTAAGTGATTTTTATTCTTTAGTGTGTTGGTGTCGTGGTAGTTATTCTTCAACCCTAATACTTAAAGGCCCAGTGTGTAAGATGTAGTGGCATCTAGTGGTATGTTGCAAATTGCACCCAGCTAAATACCCCTCTGCTCAGCCCTCCCTGTCCACGTGTGTTGGAGAACTACGGTGGCCTTCAGGTAGAGAGTTAACTTTAGGATTTTAGTACAACTAGGAGCTACTCTTATCAATACTTTTCTACATTACTAAACTGCCTTTAAAAACATATAGAGAGCTTTTATATAAATAGTATCTTTTTGATATAGAGCAGCAGCCGCTATTTTTTTATCCACAACAAAGTCACTAAATAAAGTCATTAATATCTCACTGGAAACAAAATAAATAACATTCCTGATTGAAGTTTATGGAGAACACAGAAGTCAGTCGGTATCAGTCATTCCTCTGTCCTTGTTGCTTTGTCTCAACCAGCAGAGTAGTTTGGAAAAAATAAGTGTGCATCAAACATAGTGACAGTGGACCAATAAGGTTTCACATTTGATAATTTGATAATAAATTACATCAAATCATGTAAAAGTACTGATAAATACACAAGTTACATCAGGGCTTATCAATACTCTGGTAATTTAGCACCGTGGCATGTTTAAACCACGTTTCTGAACGCATCCCTACCTTCAAATAATGTGAAACGCAAATGCTCTCGCTGGAGCTAGTGTCCATTCTGGGCTGCTGTAGAAACATGGCAGTGCAACGAAAACACTAAGATTCTTAGTTTCAGGTAATTATACACTGATTAAAACAGTTATGAATATTGTATTCCATTGCTGCCAATTAATTCCTCAAAATGTTTCACACTGTTCCTTATAATTACTTTTCAGCACTAGCTGCCATGTATAGAGACGGAGCGTATGCGTCATACGAACCAAACCAAGCCCACCAGAGGGGAAAACGGGCAGAGCAACAAAATGCACCCACGGGCTGACACGCTAACAATGTGTCAAAGGAATGTCAATGGATCATTTAGCACCTTAGTTTTTCTGAAAGTAACACAAATGCATTTTGTAACTTACCAAGCATGGAGTATAGAAATGTGTCGTGTTGAAAATCTGTCTGGGCGGCCACATTACATGAACTCTGGAATGGAAAAAAAAAATGATTGATTTTGTGGAACCCCACTGGCTATTTTGGATGGGTCAAACAGATGTAGGGTATTGATCTAGCAATGCAAATTCCTGTGTCAAGTCTACGCATCACTTAATTAACATTATATCTGCTGCTACCTTACATTTCTCTCAATACAGTGCTATAGAACAATGGCTAAAAGTAGTATTTGGGCCTGGGATTCTCTAGACACCTCACGGTTTGATTCAGAGGGCTACGATGCGACTATAAAACGATTATTGATTCATTTCTATGCATCAACATTTTTTTATACTTGATTTAGTTTTTGCTCACTGACTTTTTTTAATCGCTGCATATTTGTAATGATTTATATTTTTATAAAAAGACGAATTTACTTTTATCTTTTATTAAATCAATATTAGTAACTAATAGAATAGATATGTCAACTGGAGGGTTACATTTCTAAGTATTGCAAAGAGAACCAACAAGAAAATAAAATTGGGCCTGTATCATCATCATGGCAGTAAAAACACATAATTAAGCATGTTCTGTCATTTGACATAAAAAGCTGCTCTTATTCATTAATAAATAATTTAGACCTCTCTTCAAACAAATCCTCCAGTTATAGGCAATGAGCACTCATCTCTGGTACCAAAATAAACGGTGATAAAGTACGCGGCTACGGTGACACTAGATTCTGTGGCAACGAATGTCCACGCATAGTGTTACTACCATCCAACCTGCTTTCCTCAGTGATTTCATGACTTGAGCTTTGGTTAGGTTGTAGAGTGAGAGTATCGCTGTGTCCGTAAAACGTTGGTTCCAAAGTGTGCAAAAGCTCTGGTTCTGATTTGCTTCGCCCTCGGAAGCGAAATGCTTCCATACGTGAGCTTTGAAGCCGGGGGTACCGGTTTGATCGTATCCTTATTCGGTTGCTGAAGCTCAGCCAACCTCACCAAAACTCTGCTAGTATTTAGCCTAGCATAGAGCGCAAACAAGAGGCATGCGTATTACGTTTTCTGATTGAGTTTTTCTGCATAGTCATAATTGTTCAAGAGAGAATCACGATGCTGCTAAGAATCAATTTTCTTTTTTTTCCTCACCCTTAGTAGTATTGTCAATTTCTCAAATCATTTTTGCTCACATGCCTTGCAGGCATGTTTTTATTTTATTTATTTAGCATTTCAAGGAATTCTTTTCTGATAGCTTAAATATATAGAACACATCCCAAGTCTTTTAAATTGTATCCATAATTCTCTCACTTGCCTCTGTTCCTTGCACGGAGAGACGCAATGAAACCACGAGAGGAGGGAAGAAACAAGGAAAGATGTTTTTAGAGAAATGTGACATCCTTTCCTCTAAAGTGTCACATTTGTAGATACTATCTCAGATACTATCGCTGCCAGAGCAGCAGTGTTTTCTCTGTGGCCCGTTACCTGTTAAACAAACACCTGCACTTGAATAATAACCTGCATTCTGTTTAGAGGCAAAGAAACCATGTCTACTTGCAGAATGCATCTGCTGTATTTATACACAATAATTTATTTGGCTAAATGTTTCAGGGAAAATTTTAATTATGTAACTCATTTCAAACTAAACACTTAATTCCCCACACTTAGGAATTATCAACCACTCTTGGCTGAATGGAAATAACGATACATTATGTAAAGGGTGTTTCTTGCTGTCAGAAACTCTCCTGCTCTTTCTCATCATGGATTGTATCCATAATGAAAATTAATTGGGGAAATAACAGACAATACGTGAAAGGACAAATCGTTCTAATACGTTAAAGTAGTTTGTGGTCCTTTTGTTGTTCAGGCCTACAATTCAGATTTTTAACTGAATGACTTCCTGCTCCAGCGAGGATTGGGGAGTGAGGGGATGTATAATAAGAGACTTTGGATGTACCCAATGTCCTCTTGTTGCCTAGTTGATAGCCCTTGCTATTATTCCCTCCCCAATTACCCCTTTCACTCCCATAGCTGTGTACAGTCATCGAGTGCATCAGTGTTTCCTTGTAGAATCTTTTCCTAAGGAGAGCAGCAAGCCTCAAAATGGGTGCATCATCTGCCTCAACTTCAGTTAAACCCACATAGATGACTTCTCTTTAGCTGCCTTTTTTCTTCACACTTTTTTTTCTTTTTTAAAATTGCTCTTGCTTTACTCGTTTAGTATAAAAACGTCTGGTAAATGGGTACTAGCCAAACATTTTTTTAAAATCCTCTTGCCTCGCTCTTGACGAACCGGCTGTCCTCTCTGCTTTTCTTTGTCCAGTGAGCAGTCATGAGCGAGTCAGTCCAGAAAGAACAGGTGCAAAAGGCCAAGCTGTCCGAGCAGGCCGAGCGGTATGATGACATGGCTGCTGCAATGAAGGCTGTGACGGAGGAAAACAGCGATCTGTCGAACGAGGAGCGCAACCTGCTGTCGGTAGCCTACAAGAATGTGGTGGGTGCCCGCCGCTCCTCGTGGCGCGTGGTGTCCAGCATTGAGTCAAAGGCCGAAGGCGAGGGGAAGAGGAACATGGCCAAACAGTACCGGGAAAAGATCGAGAACGAGCTGAAGGAAATCTGCCAGGACGTGCTGGTGAGATTTATAACATTTTATTGGATTACTGTCTTTCTGTTTTGTTATAGCTTTTTGTCGTTGACATTCATATTATGTGAAGAAGTGCTGGATGACGGAGTAATGGGACTATTTCCACAGTCATGCTTCCCTTCAACTGCTCATGCTGTTGAATGTGTCATTTCTGTCAACAAGACCCAGCAGACCTTGTGAAGTGCCACGCCCCGAGTGCTTCATTTCTACCTCTGGCAGTCTTACAGCAATTCTTCTCTACTGTTCCATTTTTTAGTTCTCGTAACAGTGATGACTTTGGCTTATCGTGGCATTTTCCCTGAGGCATGGAAAGTATTTCAATTGGTGTGAAAGTCTTTAAGTTTCTAGAACACCTTGTACTTACCTTATCGATTTGATTCATAGTCTGAGTTTGCCAAATTATTCAGCAGTAGGTGAAGTGAAAAGTGGGTTAATCCTGACTTATGGTAATGCTCCAAGTGGTCTTCACTCACCTACATCAGCAGTTCCTTTGAAAAGTCACCAACTTCCTCAATTTGATCGGCACTGAGCAGTAAATGGATAACCCTGAGATGACAAAGTAAAAAAACAAAGTGCTTGAGTTCACACAATGCAGATCATTTTGTGTGAATACCCTGCCATAACATTTATTCTTTACAAAGGTCATAGTGTTCCTTTTTGATGACATGTCAGCTGGCTTGGGTTCCAGTAGTGTAGCCTTTTCTGTATATATTTTATAATACAGGTTGTAGTCTGATAAGAAGCTGTTGAAAGATTCTACGTTCTGTGCACTTTTTTTATGAGTAGTTGAGATGAGGCAGCCAACATTGTGAAACAATGAGTGCCAGCACCAAGAGGAGTGTGTCTCATCAGAGTTTTGACATGCAAGAGAAGATCTTCAGTGTAGCCAGCCAATTTGACAAATTTCCCCTTCGGGATGAATAAAGTATATATCTATCTATCCCCTTTTCCCTCTTTCATAAAAACTATACAGTAAAATAGTCGTCTTTAACAGGATTGCATTGGTATTTTTAGCAAACCTCTGTGGGAATGTATCCATTAAATTTCTGGGGTTAAATATAAGGACAGTTTCCAAGTGTTACAATATAATTTGAGATGGCTTTCCATGTACAGTAATGTAAAGTTGAACTAGGCGAATTCAAATTTGATATGGTCATAGGAATGTTTGAGAAGAAATCCATTGAGCTTCTCGGCTAATTTAATAATGAAACCGCTTATTTCATATATGATGTATTGTAAATTATTGCTGAAATGCGAATCTTCTTTTTGGCCACTCCCAAGTACTGGTACCACAACAGCATGAATGAGATGCTCTCCAAAACCCTGGGTTTGTGTTGTGCTGCATGTCACCTATTTGTGCCACAATGTTATCAGTCAGAAATTAGTTTTTTATGTTAACATTTTTCATTGGCATGAGCAAGTGTGAAGTGTCATTTCTGAGTCTCCCGGTCAATGCGTAAGAGTTGACAGCCCTGCACAACGTATTTTCTGTACCAAGTTACGTGCGCTAGTGCATATGGAGCTGAAAATTGCACGCAGAGTTCATATTCTACGTGCACGACCATCCATATGCACGTGGTATTTCGAGCCATGAATCTGTCCGACCTCTGCTACTCTTCTTCTCTCAGCTTGTGAATTATCTGTCTGGTGACTCAGCATGTCCTAATCCTATAATGGCTGCAGCTGAGCTACCAGCGCTCTGGCTCACTAACCTCCACTACGGCCGGGCAGCCTTATGGGGACCGAAATAGAGCAGGATGAGAGTAAATAGGGCAGAGGAGGAGGGGTGTAGGACAGGGATAAGGCTGTGGTATACCTGAAGCAAACTAGTTTGTGCAAGGTGTCGTCTGAACACGTCTAAAGACATGTTTGTTCTTGTTCTGAAATGCCATAATCACAGGCAGCATGAAAACCAGCTGCCATAGAGAGGAAGAAACTCATACCTTTAGTCTCCATGGTATTCATGTTATAGCACTCTGTTGCGCAACTCCTGGAAGTAGTTGCGTGAAGACAAAAAAAGAGCCCATGCCTACTTAATCACCCTATCAAACGTCATTGCAGCAAGTTGGTTGTTCAAACCAATAGCAAACACGGATATTCTCTGGGTTTTTGCTTTGGTGTGAAAGTGATATAGTCTGGTCGTATGTATCGACACCTTTTTCTATGTTTGGTGGTCCAAAGACCGCTGCGCTATACAAAAGTCCGATCAACGGAGACGAGCAAACTCAATATGCACTTTAATGCTGTTTTTAAGTAATGTTTTGTATTGCTAACAGAACTTACTATGTAATCTAGCATCAGTGGTGTATTCATGTTGCTGTCCATACCAGAGAGCATGCACGTGTAAAGAGAACTGTAAACGGCATTGGAGGCAGCACCCTGTTTATTCCTATGGAGGTGGCTCAGGGGCGCATGGGATCACTTAAGCGTATAGTATTCGGATAAGAATATCTGCATCTTCTGCATTATGAGCGTTTTTGTTAACCCAGCCCTCTGTCCAGAAAAAGCCATGGAGTTACAGATTTCTTTCCCAAGTCTATTGAAGTCTTTTTGGGCCCCATCACATGACGGACCAGGGCATTTTATCTTTACCATTTGGCCATTATATAAAGTTTGCCGACAGCGTTATCAGCAGTAACCACTGAGTGTACTGCAGTGCCGTTCCCCTGCCAGCTAGAGGTTGGGTTGGCAATAGGGAGAGGTTGTCAAGTGCGGCATGCTCGTGTTGGAAAGAGCCACACTGGCTCTGAGTGACCTACTTCCTCAGCAAAAGCTCATCAGGAGTTCAGCAGCCTAGCTTTCTCCCATCTTTCTCCACCCCCACCATCTTTCTTCCATACACCCATCCTCCCGCTCTATCCTCCTCCACCCTTTCCCACTCTCCACATAACGTGATCTGTGATGTAGCTACGGCAAAGTCTCAGGCTCACCGTCCAAGGCTGCAGGAGGTAGCCAGCTCTACCCTCATTTAGGTCTGAGGAATGTTGGCCTTGATGATTTATTTGAATGGAATGAAATGACTACTTTTGTCCGTGGATAAATGATGGGTTTTATTGTCAAATGATCCTTGTAGAAATCTGTGTATTGCCTTCTTTGTTAATGAATTGTGTGCATATTTTATAGCAGTTGTACCCAAGTATACAAATCAACTCTGCTGATTTCAGGGGTCTGCCAGCCCCACTTGTAAAGAACTATGTACATTAGTTGACAACATCTTCTGTGGTCTGTTCCCTTCTAGCAGTCTACAATACATGTTGTTTGTTTTCTTGCCACAGTTTCTCTTGAACACTTATCTCGTTAAAAACGCCGTTGAAGCAGAGAGCAAAGTCTTCTATTTGAAAATGAAAGGAGACTACTATCGCTACTTGGCTGAGGTGGCTACAGGAGACGAGAGGAAGAGTAAGCTCTGTGTTAATCTCTTTTATACCGTGTGTGTGTGTGTGTGTGTGGGTTTATTTGATTATAATTGTATATGCGTGTGCATGTTTTCCTGTCTATAAAGATCTAGTGTGTACAACTTCTAGTCCAGTCAAAAAAAGATGTATAAGGTATTATTAAGTGAACACTTAGTTTTGGTATAAGCTTTCTGACATTGGCTCCTCACTGTTGGTTCTAAAACAGTATCGCAGTAAGAGACTGGTCTCTGGTCACCAGCTTGAGACCATAGGATTTTTTGGGGGGTTGATTAATTTGAGTCTTTTTTAGATGAGCATGACCACATCTTTGTATGGAAGCCCCAAATGGACATGTTTCAAAAAAAAATTTAAATGTTTTCTTAAAAAGAGAAAGCAGGCTTTGTTATCGCTACAAAACGAGATAATTAATTTACTACCAAAAAACAAAAGGTCATTTCCTTTTGTTACTCAAAATGTTGTCCGACGGAATATGTATTCAAACGGCTCACATGAGACGACAGTGATGAACTTAGCGAAAGGATACACAAGTGACTACATACGTTTAAAAAATAATAATAATTCAAGGCACTGTACATCCAATTACAAACTCAAAGTATTAATTAGATGGTCTACAGGCAGTAACACTGTCCAACTCTGACATCTCTCAAAGGAGTCATCCTTTTTATTTTGTGTGCATGGATTCAAAGTGTAAATTGGTGAGCTTTAAAGCTGCCAGTAGCTGGACATTGTTACTGTACAGAGCCATGCTAGCTGTTTCCAGTCTTTATGCTAACCTAAGCTGACAAGCTGCTGATTTCTGAAAACAAGGCGTGAATTACAGGTCTGTCTGTTTCTTGACTTCCTGCATCTGCTTTAATAAGACCTCCTTCACTGTGAAGACCAGCTTCTAACAGCACCACCAAGTTAGCCACAGTAAGACAGTATGTACAACTTAGCTTTCTTTAACATTATGTTCTGAGAAACTTTATTTGGGCCTTCACAAAATCTTGTGTTGAAGTTTCCAGCGAGCTGTCTCCTTGGTGCTCTACACTCCACACAAACTGAAATAGAGGCCCTTGTTCATGCCACAGAGAGGTGTGGCCATCTATAGTATTAGTCATCAGTTACTGTAAGTTTGTTTTAACTGTTTCAGTGAGATGTTGATATAACTTTCTTACTTTAATTGATTATAATAGGAAGGACAAAATAGTGTGAGAACTGAACCAAATCTTATGGTAGGATTTATTGTTGGGTTGTTTTATCGAGGTGTTCGTAATAAACCGGTAACTGAGTGTATTGTGTAGTACGTTTTTGTCCTACACTGTATGAAACAAAGTTTAATGAAATTGTCAGTTTGTATGTTCTTCGGCTCTTATGTTCCTTTTTTTCCTCTCAGCCATCATGGAGGACTCAAAGAACGCCTACCAAGTTGCCTTTGATATCAGCAAAAAGAAAATGCAGCCCACGCACCCAATCCGTCTTGGTCTTGCCCTCAATTTCTCTGTTTTCTTCTATGAGATCCTCAACTCGCCTGAGAAGGCCTGCCAGCTGGCTAAAGATGTAGGTTCACAACACCATATACGTAACTCTCTCCTCACACTTGAAGATATTAAGCTGCTCAATGTAGTGCTAATGTATTTAACATGTAGAAATGGATTGCAGAGCTGTTTAAATACAGACACCAAAACCTGTAAAAACTAAGTTGATATTTACATTCTACCCACGTACAGCTTGTTTAAGACCACATCACTTTTCCAGCTGTTATAAGTGTGTTTAATTCTTCAGGCGTTTGATGAGGCCATTTCAGAGCTCGATGCACTGAGTGAAGATTCGTACAAAGACAGTACACTAATCATGCAGCTACTGAGAGACAACTTGACAGTAAGTCCCCCTTTTTTTTTTTTTTTTTTTTTTTTTTTTTTTAAACATGTATCAACTCAAATGACTAACATATTATGTGCCAATAATAATGTAGATTATAAGACTGGAACTCATTGTTTTCTATATTGATTATTCTACTGATCATTTCCTCAATTGTATTGTTTTTAAAATGCCAATCACAGCTTCTCATAACCCAAAGTGCTGTTTTTGAAACTAGCCAATGCACACATTTGGGGACCTGAAACCAGATATAATGCAGTTTTTGCTTAAGAATCACTTGAAGATTAATGTGTAATCCGAATTGTTGCCGGTTAATTTTCTGCTAACGACTAATGGTTGCAGCTCTTTTTTAAACTGCTGATTTTTCAGTGTTGTGTAAATGTTTGCTTTTTAAACACCAACACACACTGATCAGAGAAGTAGGCACTATAGTTTAATACCATTTTTGGAGCCATTCATAAGGAATATGGTGTAAATTTAAGTGGCAATGGAAAACCAGTTTCATCCACTTAAATTGTCTGTTCACCTGCATTTTATCACTTTCTTACTTTCACCGTGGTACTGAAGCAAAACTCTCGTCACAACCATTACATCAGGGCATCAACAGAAATTGCAAAAAAAATGTAAAAGTGAGAACATGTAGACGATGCAGAAAGCTCCGAACTGTCCATTCAAATGAAACTCAAGCATTTTGAATAGATATCGTATTAACAGACGTTGCCCTATTTTCCTTTCCCCTGCTTGTCGTCCTCTCTTTTCTCAGCTGTGGACCTCTGATAACCAGCAGGAGGCAGAGGATCAAGTGGAGACCGGAGAATGAGCCAGACCCCCACAGTCGTCCCTGTCTACCTGCCATCATCCCGGTTCATCTTCAACATGTCCATCAACACTGAGACCACCTTATTATTATCATTGTCGTCCAATTCTCTCCATCTTTTTTCTATTTAGTTCTCTCAACACTCATCTCATTCCTGCCGGTTTACTATTCCTCCTTTTGTAGTAACTGTGGGGAAAGGGGATGGGGAGGGAGGGTAAGTTTTGAATTGCGTGGCGGGAGGGTCCATGTGGAAGGGTAAAGTGTTTGGTTGCTGGTCCGCTGACCTTTTTTTTGTGTGGGGGAGCAATAGGGTTGTTGCATTGTTGAGGTGGTGGGTAAGAGGGCAAGTTCTCAGCTCATGAAACATGCAGCTGGTTGAGCTTTTAGAGTCAGAAAAAAGTTGTACTGTGTATCCTATTCATGTTCACGGCCATGTTCTCTATTAACACCGTGTCTCGATGATAAATCTGGTTTCACAATGAGTTGGCTGCTCACAGTAGGACAGCAGCTGTTGGTCTGTGCTTGGCAGGAGGAATGGCGGCGGAGGTAAAGACGGTGGAGGTGCGAGGTTTTGTTGGAACACAACGGTTACATTCCATTTACTGTCGGTTGCTCAACTTACTACTCTATTATTTCGTTTTGTTTTCGGGTGACCTGCTTTTGTATTTCTATGTATCGATTATGAGGTATAGAAAATATTGAACAAAAGAGCACACAAGCTTGTTGTTTTTAAGAGCACAGCAGTAAAGAAGAAGAAATCCCATGTGCTTATCTAGTTACTGCTCTATCAAATTAAGATTTTTTTTTAATTTTATTTGTCTTTTATTCTTTTTTCTTTCAATACTTGCCTCAACTGCATGTTGGTAAGAATTAGTTTGTGGAGATGCAAGGATGGTTGTGGTCGGGCGGGCTAGCTTTGTTCATGTCTTTGGAATTTTCATACAGAACACCCAAGCATAATGTTATTTGGGGGGGAAATGTGTAATTTCATGTAAGTGGAATAAAAAATAATAATTTAAAAGTTTCAACCTTGTGTGATGTACTGGTAGTCTTGAGTTGTTATCCAAAGTCATTTCTAACTCACGTGAATGACTTTCGTCTCTCGAGTGATCATCTTGCCTCAAAAGCCACGACGGTTGCTATATTTGGATGCTAAAGTCAGCTGCCTTTGTACCAGAGATGCTCCATGTGTGAATCACAAGAATAAGTGAGTCACACAGGCTGTGAGCAGACGGGAGAGCCACACACTCATTATGCACTAGTTTGACTGTCTCCTATAGTCTCCTGACGTTGCTGTGGTAAATGTCTATTGTGATGTGTCCTCAAACCACATCATAGGAGAATCTGAAGGTTTCCTCATAAAGGGAAAATACAAGAACTACACTACAAGCACACAAGGGCCACAGGTTTGAATACGCTGGACCTTTGGAGAAAGGAGACGCGGAAGGTTTACAACTGCAAACCTCCAAAAGGCTAAGCTAATCGGTAAAGTCAGCAGAAGTGTTGAACAACCATTTCATGGGGTTCGAGCATCATCACTGTCTTGTTCCAAAATCAAGAAGCCAGCAAGCTTGCTTCAATGCCAATGTTTGAATGAACAGCTGAAGGAACGGAAACAAAGCCATTTACTAATACACAGCTGTGGGTTTTGCTGCCCTTATTGCCATGACAACGTGGGAGGAGGCCACTGCAGTGGGATGATGCAGTGCAGAGCCATCTCCTCAACCATCCCCGAGAGTGAAACATAGTCGTTGGCACATCTGCGGAGAACAGTTTGTGCTCACTTTGCACACGAGTGTAATCAAGGTAACATTCAACTGTACCCTGTAGGTAATGCAAAAAATAGAAATGGGATATGCGTTTGTTGGTAGTGCCTGTCGGAATCGTCAGTATTGCAAAACGAAAAAAAAGCTGTCAATGTAGCATTTTGTGTAGCTTTTAGCTTTCGCTCTTTGAAGCCGCCTGTAGGTGTGCCGACCGGCTGAGACGCGCGTGACTGCTCGCGGGAGCGCGCCCAGCAGAGGGGGAAATTTGTCTGACATTTTATTGCCCTACTTATTTCAAGGGCGTTGAAAAATATTTATTTACTTATACTATAATACGTAGTTACTGTTGGGTTAATCAACAATGTATGAACATTAGGGATCAATTCGAGATAAATTATTCAGGTGAACCATTTCATTACCTGTTTAAAAGTAGTAGTATGAACACATTGGAGTCCAGGGACGTACAGTATATGGGAGGATGCCCAAAAGTGCATCCACTTTTATTTCAGACATATGAAAAATACTGAGACGCCGAAGCATTAACTATGTGCTGGAGAATGGACAAGCGTAAGGGGATGATATTGGACAGAGCTAGGTAATTCCTTGATATGTAGATTATTAAATGGCCAGTTTATGCTATTTCGGAAGCTAGCGGGGTCACAGCAGAGCATCACTGTTTCGCTGACTCGGGGAAATATAATTGGTGCATCGAGTAGTTTAAAAAACAACTTATGGCTCCAGCTGTTGAATAGCTGACCATCGACACATTCGTTACCTGTTCCAAATAGAGCTAGGGACTGTACATTTCAAGTGAATAAAGAGAAAATCGCCTGTAATGCGCTAAAGGAAAGCTGGTGTAAAATATCGCGATAAGTGTGACGTCAGCCTTGGTGGTACAAGCGTCGTGGTTTCGACTAGAATCGCTCAACAACCTCCACCGACCTTCCTTTCATTCTCGTAATCCGTCTGCGTAGGGTGTGCTCCGGAGCTAGTCTCGGCACACATTTTATTATTATGAAACAAACCAAAAGCTAGAGAGCACACGCAGACATATTTTTATAAGAAAAAAAAAATCGGTGAAGCAGGATTTCATTTGCCAACCCAAGCAACGCGAAGAAGACTTCAAAAAGAACGAAAAACGGAAACGAGAAGAAACGTTAGCAAGCCAAGCAGTTAGCCTCATTGTTGGAAGCGTGGGTGATTACCGTTAGCCAGTTATATTGTCAAGCGCTTATTTCTCCCTTTAAGGGCTTTGTCATTCGAGTAAACTAGAACATTTGCTTCGTTTACTACCGATAATTAAGTTTTATAACTGACGGAGGTAGAGTACCGGTTCAAAATTGTGAAGTCCGCGAGCCATATCGGTTAGGCCACGCTCCGACATTTTGCTAATCAAGCTAACTAGCCCACGTTGCTAACTGGTTAGACAGCTAGTACATGTGTCTGCGCTGTTAATTTGTAACACGTTGTTGAAGAGACCTGACACAGGAATCTCTTAATACAACAGGCGTATATTTGCTGACTGTTGTCAACAATATATCGAGTTAATATAACCTTCCAGTTGTACTCCCTGCGAGCACACGTCGTCCAACATGAATCCCAGCGCGCCGAGCTACCCAATGGCTTCCCTCTATGTGGGAGACCTGCACCCAGACGTTACGGAGGCCATGCTGTACGAGAAGTTCAGCCCGGCCGGGCCCATCCTCTCCATCCGGGTGTGCAGAGACATGATCACCCGTCGGTCCCTCGGCTATGCCTATGTCAACTTCCAGCAGCCCGCTGATGGTAGGTTTACGCTAAGTTTTTATAGCACACAGGGCAGCAAATATTAGCAAAAGGGATGTGGCACCATATCGACTTATATTTTTTTTTTCACGAACTAGACATGCTATGTCCTGGCATCTCTGATGCAATAAGCAGAATTGTTTTAGTAATCATGATATCAGATTACGTTATCTACTGAGCATGTCATGCATCGGTCTTGTTTTTAGTTTCTATAGAGGTACAGAAGTGATAGCAGTTGGCTACCAGACAAGACATATGAACCTAGTGTCCAGTCTTAAAATGTTGTCCTGTTTTCCAGCTGAGCGAGCCCTGGACACCATGAACTTTGATGTGATCAAAGGCAGGCCCCTCCGCATCATGTGGTCTCAGCGGGACCCCTCCTTGAGGAAGAGCGGAGTGGGCAACATCTTCATCAAGAACCTGGACAAGTCCATTGACAACAAAGCCCTCTATGACACATTCTCTGCCTTTGGAAACATCCTGTCCTGCAAGGTAGGCAGGGCACCATTCACTGTGTCCACCTCTGCCTTTGTGTTTGAGTGCTTTACATACAGAACACTAGTTTGCATGACTAAAGATTGAAACTGATGGTGTGTGTGTGTCTGGTGTGTTTTTAAATGCATGGTGTTTGGGATTGTTTTGACATGCTCAAATCTCCCCTTTCCAAGGTGGTTTGTGATGAAAATGGCTCAAAGGGTTACGGCTTTGTGCACTTTGAGACCCACGAGGCTGCTGAGCGGGCCATTGAGAAAATGAATGGCATGTTGCTCAATGACAGAAAAGTGTAAGTGGGACTACAATTACACTTGTTTAGATAGGTATTTTTTGGAGTGTCGTATTAACGTGACTTTTATATCTAATCGAGTTTGTGTGTAACTGCATCTTGTCCTCAAACCCATCTCCAATCCTGCCTACTGACCTTTCTGTTTTCATACAACCAAGTGAAGAATGACAATCGTCCTAAAGAGCAGCACCAAGTTTTGAACATCTTTCAGTGTTGGACGCAGGGAACCTTTAAATCCGTGCAAGTGTAGTTGTGAAATACTATCCAAAATAATAGTTATTCGTTTTTAAAGTAGTGTACAATCCTAGTATTCTGTAATTCATTTCATAGCGTTTCTTTGTGAAATGACACCAGGGAAAGCGTGGTTTGAAGCAGCCTGGTTCATAAGAAAGATTTAAATGTCTAGATTCAAAGTGATTGCTGTCACATTTTTCCTGCAGTCTACACTGCTTACCATGTTCACTTGGTGCAGATGCCCGTGTTACAACTTGTTTAGTCATTCATTGCAATTAACCTGAAATGCATCCTCCTGAATAATTAATTTTTTTGCTCTCCCGGGGTAGATGATAATATTAGTGCTTTACTTCTTGACTGGTTTAAGATCACACTGCAGCTATAAGAGAGCTTTGGGTGTTCCACATTGTAATCAGTGGCTGCTGACAGTCATGTACTTTTTGTTGCAAAAAAAGACTTGCATCGGACAGTTTTTACAAAAGCTCTGGGTTTTCCGTTGATATTCCAGCAAAAGTAATTTGAAAACTATGGTAATTTAGCGGTTAAGCCAAGTCTTGTCTTGCTATGTGTGATGTATTGTATTTTAAAAAAAATAATAATATTTTACATCATTTAACCAACAGATTTGTTGGCCGCTTTAAGTCTCGCAAAGAGAGGGAGGCTGAGCTCGGGGCACGCGCCAGAGAGTTTACCAATGTTTACATCAAGAACTTTGGGGAGGACATGGATGACGAGAAGCTAAGGGAGATGTTTAATAAATATGGTAAGACAATGATACTGTTTCAGAGAGTGGCATGCTTACAATTAAGTAGGTTGCCAGTGTTAATTGGTCCAATTTTTTTTAATATGTACTGATGAGCTATTCTGTTGTAGGACCTGCCCTTAGCATCCGGGTTATGACTGATGAGAGTGGCAAATCCAAGGGATTTGGCTTTGTCAGCTTCGAGAGACACGAGGATGCACAAAAGGTGAGGATTAGTTGGAAAATTAACCTGTCACTGTACCTCTGCTGAGTGAGTATAAATCAATACAACCATGTCTTCCATTCAGTCTATTGCTTATTTCATTGCAGGCTGTGGACGACATGAACGGCAAAGACCTTAATGGCAGACAAGTGTATGTGGGCCGCGCACAGAAGAAAGGAGAGCGGCAGAATGAGCTCAAGCGTAAATTTGAGCAGATGAAACAGGATCGCATGACGAGATACCAGGTTTGTTGGCCTTCCACTCTGTCGTAGCAATTTCATTCGACACATTACAGGGTTTTTGCATGAACACGCCAATTTCGCAAATAACAGATGCATTCTGGGCCCTGATGCCCCCCTACCAGTCAGTGTGAAGATACCCATGTAGGGGGTGTATCTACCAACAGGCTCAGTAGTTCAAATTGTGATGAACAGTAAAATTGGTGCAAAGGATCGAGAATTAAAGTTGTGACAGTTTGCAGCCTTCTAAA